TGAGACGTTCTGCTAGGATGAGGGCATCGCCCAGTCGTTCACGCTTCCGGCGTCTCCGCAGCAAAATGGGATCGCTGAGCATCGCATTGGCCTGATCATGGAGGTTGCTCGTACCTCCATGATCCATGCGGCTGCTCCCCATTTCCTGTGGCCGTTTGCGGTCCGATACGCCGCGCATCAGCTCAACCTCTGGCCCCGTGTCTCTGCTCCAGAGACCTCGCCCACCCTCCGTTGGACGGGACAGCCTGGTGATGCGTCGTCGTTTCGGGTCTGGGGCGCGCTCTCCCTTGTTTGCGATACCAAAGCGAGCAAGCTCTCCCCTCGCACTCTCCGCTGTGTCTTCCTGGGCTTCCCCACCGACGCTCCACCCTGGCAGTTCTACCACCCTGCCTCGCGTCGTGTTCTGTCCTCTCAGGATGTCACCTTTGACGAGTCGGTCTGTTACTACCGACTTCACCCGCACGCGTCCCACCCGGTCCCTCTCGCACCTCTCTTCCTGGTACCAATCCCCCCCCCGGTAGACCCCCTTCCCCCACAGGGTCCTGCTCCCTCAGGTGTGTCCCAGGTAGACCCACCCCCCTTGGATGAGCCAGTTGAGATCTCTTCTGACTCCTCTGACTCACCTGAGGGGGGTGACGCCGTCGCCGACGACACGGCGACCACTCGCCGCACTCCTCACTTGGAGACCCCCCCGGATTTCCCGCCACGGCCGTCTTCGCCGCCTCCGCAACCTGCTGCTGTGGACTCTGGAGCTGAGACTACTGGAGCTGGGGCTGGGGGTGGTGAGTCCGGGGGTGCCCTCTCTCCTCGTCTGGCTACACCCCCCGGGTTCCCACCTCTGCCGTCTTCGTCGCCTCTGCAGCCTGCTGCTGTGGACACTGGAGCAGAGACTGAGGGTACTAGGCCTGAGGGTGCTGCGACTGAGGGTACTGAGCCTGCGAGTGCTGAGACCGAGGGTCCTGCCTCTGGGGGTGCTTCGAGTTCGGGTGCTGACTCTGGGGGTGCTGCGAGTCCTTCTGGTGTTGGTGTCGTCGGAGCTCCTACCGGAGGACCTGGAGCTACTGGTGCTGGAGGTACTGGAGGTACTGCTGGTGCTGGAGGTCCTGGAGGTGCTGCTGGTGCTGGAGGTCCTGGAGGTGCTGGAGGTACTGGAGGTGCTGCTGGTGCTGGAGGTCGGGGAGCTGCAGGTGCTGCTGGTCCTGGTGGAGCTGCTGGTGCTGGAGGTACTGGAGGTGCTGCTGGTGGTGGAGGTCGTGGAGCTGCTGGTGCTGGAGGTACTGGAGGTACTGCTGGTGCTGGAGGTCGTGGAGCTGCTGGAGCTGCTGGTGCTGGAGGAGCTGGAGCTGCTGGGGCTGGAGGTGCTGGAGGTGCTGGAGGTCCTGGTGAAGCTACTGGTGCTCTTCGCCACCTTCTCAGTCTTCAGCCAGGTGCTACTGGCTTCCCTGTGGGTGGTACTACTCCTCCGTTGCTGTGTCCACTGGCGGACCAGTCACAGCCGCCGCTGCTACCACACTCCCCACCGCCTGCTCCTGCTCCTTACACTACGGTGTCAGAGTCCCTGACTGAGCGTCGAGAGCTTGAGACTCGTGCTTCCACCCCTGAGCGTCGAGAGCCTGAGTCTAGCTTTGACCTTGAGCCTGAGCCTAGAGCTGCTGTCCGTGCTCGTGTTCGTTGTCAGCGTGCTCCGGCTGTCCCCGGCACTCACGATATGACACTCCGTCCTTCCTCTGTTCCTCAGCGTGTTGTCCTACCGTTACCCCCTGCGTCCTCTTTGCCTGACGTTGCTGACCCTCCGTCTGACCTTGCTCGTGCGTCCAGTCCGACTGTTATTCGCCTTCTTGCTACGGTTGTGACGGACCCTACGTTCTCGTCTCCTGCTACGTCTGCCCTAGTAGCTGAGCTCGTTGACTTTGCTGCTGTGTACCGCCTCGACAACCTTGCGAGTCTTGTCTCTGACCCTGTCCCTGCCTGTCCTCCGTCCGTCGGGGGTGAGACTGCTCTTGGCTGCACTGCCCTTGGCTGTGACGTTCTTGAGGACAGACAGGAGGAGCTGGAGTGCCTTGCTGCCGCTTCACCCCATCACGCGACCATGCTGCTTGCCCCTGAGGGAGACCCGGATGCACTTGACATCCCCACCCCGCGCTCCTACAGGGAGGCGATTTCGGGTGAGTACTCCTCTCAGTGGCAGACAGCCATGGACGCAGAGATGGCTTCCTGGAAGTCCACAGGCACCTACGTCGACGAGGTTCCCCCACCTGGGGCGAACATCGTCAGTGGCATGTGGATTTTCAGGGTGAAGCGGCCGCCGGGTTCTCTGCCTGCCTTCAAGGCACGTTACGTTGCTCGAGGCTTCAGTCAGCGTGAGGGGGTCGACTTCTTTCAGACCTTCTCCCCCACCCCGAAGATGACCACTCTTCGGGTGTTACTACACGTTGCAGCTCAGCGTGACTATGAGCTGCACTCCCTCGACTTCTCGACAGCTTTCTTGCAGGGTAGCCTTCACGAGGCCATCTGGTTGCGCCGTCCACAGGGCTTCACTGGGTCGTTTCCTGAGGGTACCCAGTGGAGCCTACGGCGACCAGTGTACGGCTTGCGTCAGGCGCCCCGCGAGTGGCACGACACACTGAGGACGACACTTGCGGCTCTTGGGTTTGCTCCTTCGACTGCTGACCCGTCGCTGTTTCTACGCACTGACACTATTCTGCCGCCGTTCTACATCCTCGTGTACGTCGACGACTTGGTTTTTGCTACTGCTGACACTGAGGCCCTGGCCCTAGTGAAGGCGGAGCTGCAGGAGAGACACACCTGCACTGACCTGGGTGAGCTGCGGAGCTATCTTGGCTTGCAGATCACCCAGGACAGAGCACGGCGCACCATCACCCTCACTCAGTCACACATGGTGCACCAGGTCCTACAGCGCTTCCGCTTCACGTACTCCTCGCCACATCCCACTCCTCTGGCTACCGGCCACTCGCTCTCAGCTCCACCTTCGGACGAGTCCGTAGAGCCGAGTGGTCCGTACCTTGAGCTTGTGGGCTGCCTCATGTACCTGATGACGTGCACACGACCTGACCTCGCGTACCCTCTCAGCCTTCTGGCTCGCTACGTGGCACCCGGTAGACACCGAAAAGTGCACTTTGATGCTGCGAAGAGGGTACTGCGTTACTTGTGCAGCACATCGGGCATGGGGCTCGTGCTTGGAGGACGGGGTTCGGTGGCCCTCACAGGACACTCTGACGCTTCTTGGGCCGACGACCAGGCGACTCAGCGTTCGTCACAGGGTTACACCTTCAGTCTTGGCTTTGGTTCTGTCTCGTGGAGGTCCACTCGTTCTTCTTCTGTGCTTGGTTCCAGCTGTGAGGCCGAGATCTACGCTGGGGCCATGGCTGCACAGGAGCTCCACTGGCTGACCTACCTGCTGACCGACTTGGGGGAGCGGCCTCGTTCTCCTCCGGTTCTGTACGTCGACAACAAGGCAATGCTTGCCTTGTGTCGCGAGTAGAGACCGGAGCACAGAACGAAGCACATTGCTCTGCGCTACTTCCTTGCGCGTGAGCTGCAGCAGCGTGGTCGGCTGCGCCTTGCTTTCGTGGCCTCTCGGGCCAACACTGCTGATGTCTTCACCAAGGCCCTTGGGGCTGGTGATCATCAGCGTTTCTGCACTGCTCTTGGGCTTGTGCCCACTCTACCTCACCTGCTGGTTGCTTGACTTGCTCTTGTTGTACACTGCTATATATATTTATACCTGCATGTTTACTCTTGCTAGGTTGTGATCAGTGTACTGCCTTGCTATTATAACTCTGCATGAGAACTGGCCTTGTGGCCGCCTACTTGTGCTCAGATTGTGTGGTGTCCTTGAGATCCACCCTGGGCTTTGTCTTGCTTGTTCTCTTGCTTGACTGGTCTTGTGACCACTGTTAGGTTTGGCTATCCCCTACTTCACCTATGGGGGTGTGTCAAAACATAGAGTTATGTCTATTTCACTTTAGGTTGTGTAGGGGTCATCCCTTAGAGGGTACAACCCAATTCTCTCGACACTCTTGTACCCCCTCTCCCTTACCTAATGATCATTCCTCACCTAGCTAGTGATTCTAACCGTGCAATGAATCGAAGTAGCGAGAATTGCACTAAGGTGTCAAATGAGTACAAAATGTGAGCGAAGGCATGAGCGAACATTTATACGCGAAACATGCAAACGGTAACGCGGTGCGTGCGGGCTAGCTAGTGCTACGCTGGAGGCGAGGCTCGGGCTAGTCCCGAAGCGTAGGCCGACACGGCCAGGCCAGCAGTGCGAGGTTTGGTGAAACAGTGTGCGCGAAGTCGGCGAAGCCCCGTTAGCAGTAACGGGCGAAAAACGGCTGCTGCTGTACGCGATGTTGCAGGGCGCGCTAAGGAATATCGAGAAAATTCCTTACACCATCCCATCCCATCCCATTTACTTCCATCCCATCCCATCCCATTTGCTTCCATCCCATCCCATTTGCTTCCATCCCATCCCATTTACTTCCATCCCATCCCATTTACTTCCATCCCATCCCATTTACTTCCATCCCATCCCATTTCCATGACCTGCTTGCGTGATCTCCAAGCAATGTGGATTCCGCTCTCAAAACAAATTTCCCCCATCGATGGATTGGATTGATCAGATTGGCCCTGTTCTACAGGCAAGTGCTTTATTAGCGTGGAAGAACAGAGAGAGACTATCACAGATTCGAGCTCCGTATAGCCTCGACAGGGTAGACTTTGCCTCGAAGGCGTTAGCGACGAGGCACATCGCTTCGCTTTCTCAGCCGTAGACGCCGCTTGTGAGGAAGGACACAACGGGAACCTGCTCTCTGTGTCCCTTTCAAAGTCCCGGTCTGGGCTGCCTGTGTACAGAGGCTACATTCTCATCGCTCTCCCATTCCCTTTAGCTCGCGGTCACATTCTCTCGCGGTCACATTAGGTTGCGGTGACATTCGGTTGCGGTTCTGCCGTTCTACCCGCATCTGGCGCTTACCATGGCTGCCGCTTCTGCATGCGCCATCATTCCTCTTTCCTGTTTTCCCGCCGTGAAATGCGCTCCATTACGTCGCGATAGCAGGGTGCTTGGCGGATCGCTAAGCCACAGCGCCTCGAACTTAAAGCCACACAGACTCCACACGCCGCGGCTCGTCGGCAGTCGCATCGCGTCCTCAGGCCGCGCCGTCACAGCAGCCGGTGGTGGCGGCTCGAGCGACAGGAAGAACGCTGACGTCAACAAGGTGGCGGTGCTCCGGGAGCTTCTCACGTCACCAGGGATCAAATGCGCGCCGGCGTGCCACGATGGACTGAGCGCGCGACTGACGGAAGCGGCCGGTTTCAAGCTGGCGTTCATGAGCGGTGCGAAACGAGGGGTGTCGTGTCGTGGGGATGATGAGGGATGAGGGATGAGGGGGTGGGAGACGGGACATTGGGAATACAGGGGTTGGAGAGGAGCGATGGCAGATGGGGATGGTGCGGTGGGGGTGGGAAGGTGGGCCGTGAAGGGTGGTATCACATTGTGACCGCCTTGTTGCAACGTCGTCGTCGTCGTCGTCGTCGTCGTCGTCGTCCTCCTCCTCCTCCTCCTCCTCCTCCTCCTCCTCCTCCTCCTCCTCCTCCTCCTCCTCCTCCTCCTCCTCCTCCTCCTCCTCCTCCTCCTCCTCCTCCTCCTCTTCCCTTTCGTCTTCCCACCCCACCCTATTTGACCCCGCCCCATCCCGTCACCTACCCTTCCTTTCCAGGCTTCGCCATCTCAGCCACACGAGCAGGTCTGCCAGACACGGGGCTGCTCCCATACGGCAAGATGGTGGATGCGGGGAGGCTCATCGCGTCCGCTGCCATGCCAGGCTGCCTGCACAACCCAACTTCTGTCCCCACCCGGTGTACCACACCCCACCGCACCCCACCGCACTCCACCGCACTCCACTGCACTCCACTCCCCATTTCTTCCAGGATTTGCCGTCTCGGCCACAAGAGCTGGGCTCCCAGACACGGGGCTGCTCTCATACGGCGAGATGGTGGAGGCAGGCCGGCTCATCGCGTCTGCTGCTCCCGGCATCCCGGTGATAGGCGATGGCGACACGGGGTACGGCAACGCTGTCAACGTGCGACGCACCGTGCGGGGGTACAGGCAGGCTGGCATGGCGGGGATCATCATTGAAGACCAGGTGAGGGGCAAGGGGGTTAAAGGGTGGGGGAAAGTGGGGGGAGTGGCGGGAGAGGGATGGGGGAAAGAGGGTGTGGAGGGCAGAGGGAGGGGGGGAATGGCTTGTAGAGAGAGGTGGAGATGCCCGCACATACAGGTATCAAGTAAGGTAAGTGAAGGCAAGTGAGGGGTGGGGGAGAGTGTGCTGTGCCCCGGGCATCCCGGTGATAGGCGATGGCGACACGGGGTATGGCAACGCTGTCAACGTGTGACGCACCGTGCGGGGGTACAGACAGGCTGGCATGGCGGGGATCATCATTGAAGACCAGGTGAGGGGCAAGGGTGGAGATTGTGGGGAGAAGCGAAGGACGGGCGGGGAGATACTGAGCGGGGGAGTGTCTAGGCAAGAGAATGTGCCTTGTGGCAAGTGGGTAGACCGTAGAGGCAAGCTGGCATGGTGGGAATCAACATAGAGGACCGGGAGGGTGGGGGAAGGGGAGAGGAGGATAGGAGAAAGGAGCGGTGGAGGGACAGTTCTGGGGGAGAAGAGGTGGGCACTGGGGTTGTTGGAAACTCGTGCTTGCTTAAGCTCACGGTTTACAGTCCCGTACACTCCCTTACACTCCCTCGTGACACTCCCTCGTGTGTGTGTGTCAGGCGTGGCCCAAGGCGTGTGGGTGGGCACACGGCAGGGCGCAGGGTGATGGGCGTGGTATTCCTGTCCCCGTGCCTCCCCACTGCCTCCGCGTCCCCTTTTGACCCTCCTATACTTGCTTCTGCTTCTGCTCCAATGATCCCTCCCACTCCCTTGTGTGTGTGCACGGCAGGCGTGGCCCAAGGCGTGTGGGCACACGGCGGGGCGCAGGGTGGTGGGGCGGGACGAGGCAGTCATGCGCATCCGAGCAGCAGCAGATGAGCGCGACGAGGGGCAGGGAGACATTGTCATCGTCGCACGGTGAGCTGTTTGTTTGAGAAGGAATTTTTTGCTCCCCAGGGGGGGGCGTGTTTCAAAAGTGCGAGCAGCAGCAGCAGCAGCAGCAGCAGCAGACGAGCGCGACGAGGGGCAGGGAGGCATTGTGATTTTTGCTGCACCCTGGGAGTGAGGGCTGGAGGGGCATGGTCATCGTCGCACGGGAGTGAGGGCAGGAGGGCAGGAGGGCAGGAGTTTGCTGAGCACAAACTCTGCTCTCATTCCCCCACTCTCCTCCACGCCCCATGCCCTCCCACCAGGTCGGATGCGTGTCAGGCCGTGTCGCTAGATGAGGCGTTGTGGCGGGCAGGGCAGCAGGTCTTAATCACGTCACAAGATTCGCCTTAACCACCCCCTTCCTCGCCCCGCCTCCTCTTCCTCCATTCCCCATCCCCCCACACACCAGGTCGGATGCGTGTCAGGCTGTGTCGCTGGACGAGGCGCTGTGGCGGGCAGCAGCGTTGCTGCAGAAGTGCATTCCTCTCCTCTATTCCTAACGCCCTTCCCTCCCCCCCCCCCCCCCACACACCAGGTCGGATGCTTGTCAGGCTGTGTCACTGGACGAGGCGCTGTGGCGGGCAGCAGCGTTTGCCGACGCGGGGGCGGACATGGTGTTCATTGATGCGCTGGGGTCGGAGGAGGACATGCGCGCCTTTGTGCGCGCCGTACCAAACACCCCCAAGCTGGTATGTGACTGCACTGCTCTATGCACCAGCCTGTGAGCGTGGGAGGGCGCGGGGGCGGACATGGTGTTTATTGACGCTCTCGGGTCGGAGGAGGACATGCGCGCATCCGTGCGCGCCGTATCAAACACACCCAAGCTGGTACGCACGTAGTAGACTGCTTGTGTACGTGAGTGCACTGCTCTATGCACCAGCCCGTGTGTGTGGGAGAGCGGGGGGCCGGACAGGGTGTTCGTTGATGCGCTGGGGTCAGAGGAGGACATGCGCTCAAAGGTAGCGCATCAATGAACTCATGAGCTCAAAAATAGTGCATCAAAAGTAGCTGGAGGACATGGGCTCGGCTCTGCCGTCGCTGTCTACCCTCTCAAGATCTTCCCGCCTCCCCTCAGTGAGGTGTATTTTGAGGCGCCTCAAAATACTCCCCTCATCTCCTCGTTTCTCCCCCCTTTCCTCTCTTTCCTTCCTTCCCTGCACCGCGCCTGTTGAGTCGTTTCACAAACTCCCCTCTGCACTTTCCCCCCTCCTCTTCCCTCGTCGCTCCTCCTTCTGCCTCCTTCCCCCGCCTCCCACTCCTCCCTGACAATAACCGCAGATCAATCAGTTGGAGGGCGGCGGGCGAACGCCCATCCTCTCCCCACAGAAGCAGGAGGACATGGGCTTTGCTATCGCCGTCTACCCTCTCTCCCTCCCCCCTCCTTGCTCCCTCCTCGGTTCTCTCTGCTTCCCTCCCCTTCCTTCCCAGCGCCCTTCGAGTCGTTGTACAAACTCTCTTTCTCCACTGTCCCCCTTCCTCTCTCTCCTTATGGCCCCTCTCCTCGCCCCACTGCCCACTCCTCCCGGGCAATAATGAACGCAGATCAATCAGTTGGAGGGCGGCGGTCGAACGCCCATCCTCTCCCCACAGCAGCTGGAGGACATGGGCTTTGCCATTGCTGTCTACCCTCTCTCCCTCGTGGGCGTCTGCACTCGGGCCATGCAGGTATGCCCTTTCTCACAAGGAGCCCTGCAGGTATGCCCTTTCTCACAAGGAGCCCTGCAGGTATGCCCTTTCTCACAAGGAGCCCTGCAGGTATGCCCTTTCTCACAAGGAGCCCTGCAGGTATGCCCTTTCTCACAAGGAGCCCTGCAGGTATGCCCTTTCTCACAAGGAGCCCTGCAGGTATGCCCTTTCTCACAAGGAGCCCTGCAGGTATGCCCTTTCTCACAAGGAGCCCTGCAGGTATGCTCTCTCACGAAACAAATTCATGCATGCAAGTGTGCTCTTTCACAACAATACATATCCTAGGTGTCCCATTATCACCCACCGGTAAGCCTCTCGCCACAGGCCATGCCCACATGCCCTCTTTCTTTCCCTCTCTCTCTCTCATTCGACCCGCTCCACCTGGCACCAGTGCCATCGGGTTATCTGCCTTTTTTTGCCTCGCACTCTCTTCCCCTCTTTATCTCATCCCCAACCCCACCCTGTCCTAACTGGCACTCGCACTCTCAGGACGCGCTGTCAGCCCTGGCCTCTGGTCGACTACCCCGCCCTTCTCTCCTCCCCCCCTTTGAAGAACTCAAAGAGGCTGTTGGTTTCCCGGAGTACCTTGCTCTTGAGGAGCGGTACAAAACGGTGGAGGACGATGATGGGAGTAGCTGGAGCAGTGGGAGAAGCAGGAGGAGGAGCGATAGTGATGATGCGGATGCTGCTGCGGCTGCTGCTGCGTCGGCGCGAGCGGCGGCAGAAGCACAAGCAGAGGAGGCAGCCGCAGCAGCCCGAGCAGCAGCGGCAGATGCAGCAGCAGCTGCTGCTGCAGCGGCAGCTGGTGCGAACTGGCAGCAGCAGCAGCAGCAACAGCAATACCAGTCGCAGCAGCAACAATCCCAATCCCAACAGCAGCAGCAGCAGCAGCAGTGGGATGTGGTGGAGCCTATGGTTATAGAACCCGATGAAACACCAGGAACTGGATCCGAAGGCTGGAAGAACCTCGAGAGGACCCGCAGCAGCAGCGGCGGCGGCGGTGGTGGGTGGGGAAACTGGACGCGGGTGCTGCGAGTGCAAGTGCTCGGCCAGAACAACATCACCAAGCTCGACTTCCGTGTGCCGGTCAGTGCTTGTTTCTCCCCTTTTGAGACGTCTCAAAAGTGGTGGGTGGGGAAACCGTACGCGGGTGCTGCGAGTGCAAGTGCTCGGCCAGAACAACATCACCAAGCTCGACTTCCGTGTGCCGGTCAGTGTGTCGTTTGCTTCTTCTTGCAGCAAACCAATCTCAGGACCCCACTCCTCCTTTCCTTCCTCCCGCTCCCCCCACCCACCCCCCCTTTTTTTTACCGCATCTTTCTTTTTCCCAGCTAGCCTCCTCCCGACTTTAGTTCAGCGCACACTAAATACCCCCTGTTCAGCATCTAGTATCTTACACACATCACTTCTCCTGCTGTGCTCTGTTTGTGAGGCGCATAGGCAACAGATATATCCTCATGTGCACACCCCTTCACCTGCTGTCACCCGTCATTCTCCACCAACTCTGTTCTTCCACCTATTATCATTCTATCCATTCTATCCATTCTGTTCAGCGTCTAGTATCTTACACACAACTCCCTTCTCCTCCTGTACGACATTCCCCCCATCTCATTTTCGACCTGTCCTCTTTCTCTCTCCCTGGCTCTCTCTCCCTCCCCCTACCCACCTTCCATCCTTTGTCCCCGTCCAACACCCCTCAGGCTGGCTTTCTAGGGAGTCTTGCCAACACCATTCCAGGTTAGTTCCAAGGCTCCTAACATGCCTCTGCTGTTCCACTTGATGCCTCCTTGCTTTTCCGCTTGACGCTCCTCTTCCCTGCATGCTGGCGTGGCTTGGAGGGTAGGTTCCGCCAGCCTGGCATGAGCGGCCTCTTGGCAAGCGCAGCTGTAGCAGCTATAGCATGCTGTAGCAGCTATAGCATGCTGTAGCAGCTATAGCATGCTGTAGCAGCTATAGCATGCTGTAGCAGCTATAGCATTCTGTAGCAGCTATAGCATGCTGTAGCAGCTGTAGCGTGCTGTAGCAGCTGTAGCATGCTGTAGCAGCTGTAGCAGCTATAGCATGCTGGAGCAGCTGTAGCAGCTGTAGCTGCTGTAGCAGCTGTAGCATAGCAGCTATAGCATGCTGGAGCAGCTGTAGCAGCTGTAGCAGTAGCAGCTATAGCATGCTGTAGCAGCTGTAGCATGCTGTAGCAGCTGTAGCAGCTGTGGCATGCTGTAGCAGCTGTAGGGTGCTGTAGCGTGCTGTAGCTGCTGTAGCGTGCTGTAGCAGCTGTAGCAGCTGTAGCATGCTGTAGCAGCTATAGCATGCTGTAGCAACTGTAGCAGCTGTAGCATCTATATCATGCTGTAGCAGCTGTAGCAGCTGTAGCATGCTGTAGCATGCTGTAGCAGCTGTAGCAGCTGTAGCAGCTGTAGCAGCTGTAGCAGCTGTAGCAGCTGTAGCGGTTGTAGCATGCTGTAGCATGCTGCTGTTGTAGGTGCTTTTTATTTCGCCACTAACCCTCTTTTCGTTATCTTCTCCCTTCCTCTCTCCCCCATCGTTCCCTTCCCTCGCCTTACCTCCTTTACTTCAAAACCCACCAGCTGTAGCGGGCATTGATTTAGCATGCATGGTGGAGCGAGCAGCAGCGCGGGCGCGGCTGATTCGTCCGTCCCCTTACCCTTACTGCACCACATTCTCCCTCCCTCCCATTCCCCCTGGTTTTGCACATTTCTCCAGCCGTGGCGGGCATAGATCTAGCGGGCATGGTGCAGCGAGCAGCAGCGCTTACTTCATCCATTCACTTCCCCCACCATTTTCCTTTGTGCTCCACATTCCTCTTCCGTTGCTGCACACATTTCCCCCACCGCACAGCCGTGGCAGGCATAGATCTGGCGGGCATGGTGGAGCGAGCAGCGGCAGCACTTACTTCATCTATTCAATCCCCCCCCCCTGCCTCCCACCTGTTTCCTTCGTGCTGCACACATTTCCCCCACCGCACAGCCGAGGCGGGCATTGATTTGGCAGGCATGGTGGAGCGAGCAGCAGCACATCAGCAGTTGATTCATCCTTCCCCTCACCCTTTCTGCACCACATTCCCCCTCCCTCCCATTCCCTCCGGCTTTGCACATTCCCCACCGCACAGCCGTTGCGGGCATTGATCTGGCAGGCATGGTGGAGCGAGCAGCAACGCGGGCACAGTCAGAGGGGGGAGGCGGAGGGGATGATGAGGTGGTGGTGGTGGATTTCAAAGACAAGACCACGGGCGACCGCGTGCGCATCCTGCTGGAGTGATGCAGAGCGGTTGGGATAGGTTGGGAGCAAATGTAGGGAATGCAGGCGGGTGGATGGGTGACGATTTGGTGGTAGATGAAATGGGGATGACGAGGTGGTGGTGGTGGATTTCAAAGACAAGACCACGGGCGACCGCGTGCGCATCCTGCTGGAGTGATCCCGGCGTGATGCAGAGCGGTTGGGATAGGTTGGGGGGAAGTGTAGGGAATGCAGGACTGTAGTAGGTGGGTGGGTGGGTGAGTGAGTCGTTGACAAGATGGTAGGGGGAGGTGGAGGGGATGATGAGGTGGTGGTGGATTTGAAGGACAAGACCACAGGCGACCGCGTGCGTATTCTGCTTGAGTGATGCAGAGCGGTTGGAATGGGTCGGGCTGTGTTTGGATGGGTTGGGATGGGTTTGGCAGGAACTGCAGGGAATGCGGGGATGGACGAGGGGGAGTGACGAGGTGGTGGTGGTAGAATTGAGAAAGCTTGCTTTCTTATTTTTATCAATTGGCATCGTTCTCATTACAACTGGCTTATTACAACATTTGCATCGAGATTGAACACAAGCTAGTGCATGCTAATATCACTAGCTAAGATGTACCCTATCCAAGTGGCATTAGCAAGGCGTTCTACGCTGGGGTGGGTGGTGGGGATGTTGAGTGAGCCGTTTGAAATAGAGAAACGTGGGTGGAGGGAAATGAGCTCCAACCCACGGTTTTTGTAGTTGGAGAAGGGCGTTTAGCGCGCTTCGACGATGCCAATTGTGCAGTACAAGCAGCTTCGCTTTCACAATACACAATTTTAAAAAACACAATGTGTGTTTTAAAAAATATAATATTGAGAAAGCTTGCTTTCTTATTTTTATCAATTGGCATCGTTCTCATTACAACTGGGGTCTCTGAGACATGGGCAGCGGGGGCCTCTTATGGCGTACGAGCGCCTCTGTGTGTTGCGCCGAAGACACCGCCTGCGTCGGATCTTGCAGGTTGCGGGATGCTGTGATGAGAGGCTCGACGTATGGCGTGACGTACATTTCCTTAGCTGTGTCGCTTCGCCATCTGCCCAGCCGTTTGAAGACTCTGTCTGGCACTCCAGTGTTGGCTGCTACTGTGGCCGCGCCTTTTCGGAAAGAGCGAGTGCCGAGCTGCAGCTCTCCCAGACCAACTTGTGCGAAAGCTTCCTTACACCAGTTCCGAATTGTAGTGTATGAAGGCGGCTTCGCTTGGCCTTTGCTGCTTGAAGCGTGCCCGAAGACACGAATCAACGGTCCCTCTGACTGAGGACCATAGCCGGCGAGTTGGATGAAGCGTCGGGTGCAGCGTACTGGGCAACAAGGGTCTGTCGTTGCTGCAATGGGTATCCATGTTCCGTGACCGGCCTGATCGGTCTTAGAGTGTGGTATGAGGATCCACATGACCTCTTCGTCGAATTGGATGTCTTGCCATTGTATGGCCACTAGGTCGGAGTATCGCAGAAATCCTGAGTACATGAGGATGGGGATCAGCCCTTTCTGAAATTCCGCAGGGTCGTCAGACTGCAGGTAACTCCCGGCCATGTCGCGGACTTGTTGGATCGATACGGGTTCCTTCAGACGAGTAGGGCGGGGGCAGTGTCGTTTTGCACAGTCGCGGACTTGGGTGGTAAACGGACCGATTGTTGGGCATTTGTTCCCAGTCATGCGATGGGCGAAGCTTACTGCCGAGCACGTCAGCTGCACTACGGACAGGGTGGCTTTGCGTCGGATTGCGTGAACCAGGTATAGTGCGAGTGTCATGTCGGAAGCTGGAAGAAAGGAGAGATCCACTTTTGTGCAAAATGCTCGAAACTTGGCCCAGTATGGTTCGTATGTCCGGATCGTAGAATCGGCGCGTGACTGCGCGAGCATTTTGATCAGTTGGTCGTGTAACTTTGGGAGCAAATCTGAACACAGGAGTGGACAATATGCATTAGTCAAATACCACTCGCAGTACAATGATTGGGCTATGCGGTAGTCCCGTGCCCGAGAAGGCAGTAGAATGGGACCCTGTATCTAGGCATTGGCTTCCGTGTGTGAGAGGGATGTGCGCGTGGATGTGTGGAGCCCAAGTACATAGGGAGGGTTGCAAAAGTGGCCACCAACTTGCGCCTGGCCAGTGCGGGACTATTAATGTGAGTGATGCATGGGTGCGTTGTGCATGGTGGAGGACGGCTGGGACCAGTTGGGGTGGGGGGAAGGCGAAGTTGTTTTCGGCTGTCCATGCGATCGAGAACGCATCAACTGCGATGGCTTCCGGGTGGGGGATCTTGGTGCAAAAGCGCGAGAGTTGGGTGTTGTGAGAGTTTGCAAAGAGGTCGATGGAATGCGGACCCCAACGACGTTCTAAGATGCGAAACCACGGCTTCTTCAACGCGTAGTCGTCGTGGTCGACCATTTTTGAAAGCTCGTCAGCATGTGAGTTGAGCTCTCGCGGGATCCATTCAATGATCAAGCGCGTGCCGAGCCCCATGCATGTTCGGATGATGCTTTTGCAAGCCATTGTGAGGTCAGAGCTGTGAGAGCCGCCTTTGCGAAGGATGAAGAATACGCCCTGGTTGTCCACCCGCACGAGAACGTGTTTTTGCTTGATCTTGTTGGCGTACGTTTGGAGCGCCCAAAGGACGCCTTCGATCTCCCGCCGCGTGCTGGACGTTGCCTGTAGCGGCTCTGACATGGTTGCGCTCGCTTCTTCGAGGCCACCCGGAAATGTAGTTAGAGTGGCGCCCCAACCATGAGAGCTGGCATCCACATGAATTACCGCATCGTAGCTGTTCCGGACGTGGAAAGGTGCACCGTTGAACCGGTCGAACTCCTCAAGCCAAAAGTGTAGCTCCTCTGCTGCGGCTGGGGGGATGACCACGTTGCTTTTCCATGACGGTGCGTCGTTGATTACTTGTAACATGGCGTGGCTGAATGCGCGAGCGGTCGCGCCAAGTGCGACCCCCATTGATGCGAGCATGCCTGTGATTCTGGCCACGTGGCGGACCGGGACTGGTCGGCATGCCTTGCTTGCGCTCAGGAGGTTTTGGATGGTTGCATGTAGTGAGGCTCGTCGGTCGGGACCGATGGAGAATCGACCGGTATCGGTTTCCAGCTCTACACCCAAAAATCGTAGGCGTTGCGATGGTGACAGCTGTGATTTCTTCGCGTTTATCACGAGTCCTGCCTCTTTAAGGTCCAATATCACACGCTGGCAGATCGCTTGCGCATGGTCTTTTGACTGACAGAGGAATAAGATGTCGTCCACGTAAGGGATGACTCGGATGCCTTGTTCTCGCCAGCGCCGAGCCAGTTGCTTGATGAGCTGCGTGAAGACGAATGGAGCTGTCGCGAGGCCAAATGGCAGTGAACGAAATGCGTACGTGCGCCTCCCAAATTCGAAGCCGAGGAACTTCCAGCATGATGGGTGGATGTCGATGTGGTGGTCAATGGAGAACATCCAATCCCCAACGCGTGCCAGGTCCGCCACGCGGTTGAGCCCCTCGTACTTGAACTTGGGGACGATTAAGCTTGCGTTGACTTTCCGCAGATCAAGAATGAGTCTGCATTTGTCTTTTTGCTCGACCACATTGAGTGGACTTATACACGTCAGCTCCGTTGCGGGCATCTGGACTGCTGCTCCGGTCTCTAGGAGTTCTTGGATAGCGGTACGCGTGAACGTAGCATGCGTGTTTGCCCCGACATGGTTGCGATCGTGGAAGGGTTGTGGTGGGCCGTGGCTCCATGGTAGCCAATAACCCCTGGCGATGACGGAAAGGACGAGGCTGCAGGGACACCAGGAGCTCCACCACGCAAAGGTCGCACGAAGTCGACCGCGCATTTGTGTAATGGTTTTGTCCGTGACGGCAAATTCATACGGATCGTCGTAACATACCGCCTCGCACTGTCGTGCTCCTGTAATTGAGGCAAATGGGGTAGGGTTGGGAGTTCCATTTGGCGCATGCATGTGCGTGTGCATGTACGCGCAATCGTTGATCAATGGTGTGAATGAGATTGCCTATCTATCGAAAGGACAACAAATATGTCATGCGCGCGCCGACGCTTCTTCTTCTTCTTCTTCTTCTTGGTTTTTTTTTTTTTTTTTTTTGCTCCATGGGCACCCTGATCATGGTAGGCAAGTAGGTGTCACTCTCTGGACCCCCTCCTCTTTTTTTTTTTTTTTTTGTCTCGTCTAGCACCGTGGCTAGCCCTTTTTCCGATACATCACATCGCGCTTTTTTTTTTTTTTTTTTTTTTTTTGCTCGCCTTGTCATCCACTTGGTAAGACGTGGTTGTGCATGCCTTTAGTGCATGTGGGCTGGTGCTTTGAACCATGGACATGCGTGTCCACCATGGTTTGTCTTGTTCTCTCTCTCTCTCTCTCTCTCTCTCTCTCTCTCTCTCTCTCTCTCTCTCTCTCTCTCTCTCTCTCTCTCTCTCTCTCGCTCTCTCTCTCTCTCTCTCTCTCTCTCTCTCTCTCTCTCTTCCTCTCTCTCTCTCATGCTCTGCACCTCCTCTGTGTGTCTAGAGGCTCTTTGCAAAATAGTAAATCAAGGAACTTTTTATTAAATCAACCAACACACATTGCAATGCTTCCTAGCATTCATCACCCCACCGGGTGGCCAAATACATGGGACCGAGGGGTTGTTGTTCCCCTTCCCTATCCTAGGCCCAAAGCCTATTACTACCCTTCACTAGGGCTGGCCTCTTGCCATCGCAAACCCCTAGGGCTGCCCACGGTTTCCGCACTCAAGAGTGCACCGTGCCTAGCGCCCAAGGCGCCTAATCCCTTGGCCCGCTCCTACACCACCGGAGCGGGTCCTTGGCCGCCATGCCCGTTCCTAGGGCAGGCACTTGCCACATGTCCCGGCTGGCCGCAGCGGAAGCACGAGCCCCGAAACCCACGACAATTGGCCGTGGGCGGGGGGGCCCGCTTGGGTAAGAACGGCATTGGCCCGTTGTTTCCGCCGCGGGTGACACGAGCGTATGCACTTGCCGCGCGGTCCATTGCAGCCATATCCGCGACCGCCTGCTTGAAGGGTCGAGAGGTCAGCAGGCTCTTCTGCTGGTACAGTTTGAAGCGTTTCGCCGTGCGGAAGTCGGAAGCGTCCTCCACTTGAAGCACCTCGAAACGCCCCGAGATGAGGTTGAGCGCGTGTGAGATGAGTTCGAGTCCGCCCGCCGAGTCGCCTCGCTGCGCCTTGTATTCCGCGTGCAGCAGGTACGCACGCAAGTCCTCCAGCAGCTCCGCTTGCTCTCGCACGGAGTCGTTGACGAAAGTCGCCGCCGAAAAGGTGAGGTTAGAAGAAGGGAGGGGGGGGAGGTTTTCCGTGCCAATAAAATTAGCAGTGTTGACTGGAGCCTCACCAGCTTCATCTTCAGAGTCGTCGGTGTCGTTGTTGACCGCCGGAGCAGGGGGAGCGGCTGTCGCTGCGTCGTTGTCATGCCGGTTCGTACGTGCTCCTCGCGTGCCTTTTTCCTTTTTCGCGTTTTCTTTTTTAGCCGACGCAGATGCAGCGGGTAGTGCAGTTTCCGCGGCTGTAACGCTGACGGGCTGCTGCTGTAGAAGGGATAGCAGCGCGTTGACCTGGTCCGGGGTCAACGCCTGCGTCAGTGCAGGGGCGGTCGTCGCGTCAGACGAGGAGACCGCAGTCCGCCTCCTCTGGCGCTGACGCGACGGTCCAGCCGCGGGTGCTGGCGTGTGCTCGGCGTCAGGTGCGTGTGCCGCGCCAGCTGCCGTCGCCACTTGCGCCGCAGGTGCCACAGGCGCCACTGGCGCCACTGGCGCCACAGGGGCCGAAGGGTGCTGCTGGGCGTCGGCACTTTTGTTGACCTCGAGCCCGCCCAGCAGCACGTCCACTGCAGTCGGGGCGGGCGGTCCATCTTCTGCCCGGCGCTTGTTACGGCGGTCGCCCGCAAAATCGCGGGTGTTACGGTCGGAGTCGGAAGCGGGGTTGGACGAGTTCCCGTTGTTAAGTGTCGTCGTCGGTGCCATCGTTGATCGATTGAAGTTAAAAATGTCGCTAAGTAAAGTCGAGGGTGACTCGCCTCTAGGAAGCGATTTTGTTCTAGCCAGCTTGGAAGGAGAGAAAGACTACGCGAGCGGAGATGTTGAGTGAGCCGTTTGAAATAGAGAAACGTGGGTGGAGGGAAATGAGCTCCAACCCACGGTTTTTGTAGTTGGAGAAGGGCGTTTAGCGCGCTTCGACGATGCCAATTGTGCAGTACAAGCAGCTTCGCTTTCACAATACACAATTTTAAAAAACACAATGTGTGTTTTAAAAATTATAATTTGTAGAAACAAGAGGCGAGGCGGTCAGTGTGGGTGTTGGCTAGACATGGTGTGTGCTTGTCATAATTGTGAATTGTGAATAAGGCTGGTTGTTACACCATCTTTCTCACTAGACTGGCATGGTATAATGACCAACACGGTTTGCAGAAACACAACGCACTCAGGAAGGTGCCATCACATATGCTATAGTGACATGGGTACGGTATGATCCAAGGCGGTTAGTCTAGGTGTAGTACGCTTTACACTGGTATTATTTTGCGCCAAAACGGCTGGGAAGGGTATTCAGCATGAATGGAACTTTTGCGCCCCAAGGCATGCCCAACCTGCCCGCTAAATCCAAACAGTGTAGCAAGTGCTTCCTCTGGTGAGAAGTTCTAGAATGAGGGTGTATTCCAGGCTTGACCACTGGCAACAAATGCTGACTGACTGCAACAACAGTCAATCCATACCAGTAATGTAGGCTCACTGGCAGTGACGTATAAACAGTCAGGTCAATATATCTGCCTTCAGCATACCCCAATAGCTAGGGTATCATTCAAACTCTCCGATACGAGCACCCAAAATAACGACGGGGTAACCATCGAACCGACTAACCTAGTTCATCATTACTCCAGCAGAGCATAACAATACTGTCAATGCTGATTGCACACGTGCACGCTACTCCCGAGAGCTTGTATAAGAATACTAGAATACATGTCATCAGTTCTTGCGCCCTTCCACGAGAATTACATGGTAACCGTGCCTGTAAGGGGGGTATGTGATTGTATGCAACGAGGCCATGATGCGAGGGAAAGAGAGAACAGGAAAAGAACATCAAGCAGCAAATTAAGGGAGCAGTGAAGAGAGAAATTTCCCCTCACAAACTACGGATAGCACAGCACAGCGCCTTGGGAAACAAATGTAGAAGTGGTACGGTAGTATTGAACCAAACACCATGCTTTTCCCCAAAAGACAACATTGGTACCCCTTGATCCATCCTCTGGCCTGCCACCCAGATAGGCAAGGCCTCAGCAGCCCACTTGTCCGTTACTGATCCATCCACTGGCCTGTCATCCAGATACGTAATCCCTGTTGACTTGACTCACGTTGACTTGAAGGGTGCTGACGTGGCACCAATGGGCGTGGCGAAGGCAACGTCCTGGAAAGGCCCGGCCATCTTGCCCCGGGGGAACCAGCCCAAATCGCCGCCCTTCTTGCCCGACGGACACTCTGAGTATGCCTGGGCTATCTGCAAAAGTGTAGAATAGGGGGGCGTAAGGGGAAGGAGAAAGTGAAGGGGAGGGGAATTGAAACCATTAGGTAAAGGAAGGGCGTTAAAGCCAGGATCTCAAGTAAAAAAATTGGCTGGAAGTTGGTGAGGGTAGCTCGCCTGTGATTGGTTAACGAGGTGGTTCGTTTGACGAGGGGTGAAGCGAGGGGTGCGAACTAAAGTCAAATCGCAAGTTTGAATCCGAACCAGGGAGGCACGGAATCTGGTTCGGTGACGAAGCTCCAACACCAGCAATTTCTCGCCACCCCCGAAAAATCTCATGTATCAGAAATGTGTTTTTGCAATTGACCCAGGGGCAAAAACGTGGGTGTGTCGCACACTCAACCTCCTAACCAGCCAGTCAGTTCGCCTACACAGATAGGGTAACGAGAGCTGCAAGTGTTTTGCAATTGACAGCAATTTCTCGTACTTGAGATCCTGGCTTTAAGGGGAGAAGGAAAAGGAAGGTTAATTCAATGTCCTGGCCATGGGATGTCATGTCATGCCACAATATCCCATCCCATCCCATCCCATGCCATGCCATGCCATGTCAATGTCTTGTCTGAAGAACGGGGGTGGGAGCAGGTGGGAGGAGGAAGAACGGGGGAATGTGAGGTTAAAGGGAACCTATAGGCTAGCAACATGTGAACACCTCCCATCGCATTGAACCAACCCAAACCACACAGCTCACCTCGTTTCTTAAAAAACACTCGGATTATCGTCCTTCCCACCTTCCCCCCCCCCCCTTTTTCAAGCAACCATTAAACACAATGATTGCACAGCACCCCACCATACCCACGTATCCACCATACCCACTGTTCCCACTGCACCCACCGTTCGCACCACACCCCACCACACCACCGCACCCCACCACACCACCGCACCCCACCACACCACCACTCCCCACCACACCCCATCACACCACCACACCCACCGTACCCACCCACCACACAACCAGCCCTAGAAACCCACTCACCTCGCCGAACTTGGCGGGCGGCACCTTATCCCCCGCATCCAGCCACCCCTCCTGCAGCTTCTTGTACGCCTCGTTGATCTTCCCCTGCTTCTCACACAGTATGTGCCGCGCTGGAAAGAGGGGGGGAGGAAGGTGGGAGGGGGAGGGAGGTGGGAGGGGGAGGGAGGTGGGAGGGGGAGGGGATGCGAATGAGAGCATATAAGGGTAGCGGCAACCGGTGCAAAGGGGTTTCGCCCTTGCTCCTGCAGCTTCTTGTACGCCTCGTTGATCTTCCCCTGCTTCTCGCACAGTATGTGAAGCGCTGGGGGAGGGGGAGCAAGCAGGGGGGAGGGATAGCGGGAGCGGGAGGGGGAGGAGGACGAAGAGGGGGAGGGGGGTGGGGAGGGGGAGCTGGAGGGGGGAAAAGAGGGTGGATTACGGGAGGGGGGTGGGAAGGGGGATTGTGGGGTGGAGAGGGGTGAAACCAGCCAGGGAGAATGAGAGGGTGGCTGGCAGAAAGCGTCGCGAGCTGCTACCACCGTTTCTGCAGCTTCTTGTACGCCTCGTTGATCTTGCCCTGCTTCTCGCACAGTATGTGGCGCGCTGGGGGGAGAGAGCAAGGGGTGGGGGGGAGGGAGAGGATACGAGAGCGCGAAAGGTTGGCAGAAAGCGGTGCAAACCGGTTCCACTCTTGCTCCTGCAGCTTCTTGTACGCCTCGTTGGTCTTGCCCTGCTTCTCGCACAGTATGTGGCGCGCTGGGGGGAGAGGAGCAAGGGGGAAGAGGGACAGGCGGAAGGGGAAGGTGGCGGGAAAGAGGAAGAGGTGGAGAAGTTGGGAAAGGGAAGGGGGAGGGAAGAGGGAACGCAAGACGACAAGGACAGAAAACGCAACGGGCAGTGGATCGGACTTAATTTGGGTCAATTGAAACTAGTGAATGCACTTGACTCGTTTAAGAAGGCACGATATGGAACCATGTAATGTACGTAATCGGCCATGCACTCATTGCCTCGCCAGGGAACGCAACTTAACGAGCCAACTCCGGGAGACGCGGCAATGAGCGAAACACCCGAAAGGCGTCTCGAGCGATTGAGACGGGATTCGCGAGATGCTATTCATAATTCGCAAAAATCACAACCTGACGGGATGCTAACGAGCGTACCTTTAACGTACGTGCATGTACCGAGCTCGCCTTTCCCGCCGCCCTTTCCCCCTTTCCCCTTGTCGTCGCCGCCGACGCCTCCTCCGGCCTTGCCCTTGCCCTTGGGCGGCATTGGCGCGCAGGGACTAACGCTGCACGAAAGAATGCGAAGGTTATGCGACGTTCGCGAGAGCCGCGAGCGACTAAGCGCTATGCGGACTAGCGAGAAACACGATTGGGAGGGCCGCAGAAAACCAGGATTCAGGAAAGAAACCAAAGCTAGGTGAAGGGAAAGTCTAGCCAAGCGGGGAGGAAGGGATTGTGGGATCTAGAGACATCTAGAGAGGTTTGCGGTTCAATCAGGTGTTGCTAAATATCCAACGGTTTGGTAAAGTTACAAAACGCTGAGATGGGTTTCTGAGCGATTATGAACAGCACAAAAATCCGCAAATGCAAAATGGAAGCAAGCTGAAGTGTACGCAGGTATACGCATTTATCAAAGTTGATTTTCTTTAGTCATACGGAAAACGATAGTTACGCGTACAGGTTGTACATTCATCAGCAGGGCAGGAGAAAGGGCTTCCAGAAGCTTTTGTCCCTCTCGCTTGTGGCACGCGCAGCAGCAAGGGGCGAATAGCGGCGGGGGAAGAAAGGAGGGTGGACCGTGGAACCAGTTATTAGATAAGCGAAAATCGTCCAAGGAATCAAGCCCAGCCCGCGCTGCTCTCCTCCACTCGATCTTCGATCACCGGATCGTCGCCGGATCGCGGTTGTGTGAAGTTGTGAGAAGTTCACTCTCTTTCCCATCTCGACCGTCCATTTGCCGCGATGAGATCCGCGGCGCGAGATCTGCTCCAAGCGGCATGCCGGTCCCTCCGACTTGCATCCGTCCCCGCACCCTCTGCTCACGTCGCCCTCCCGACCCGCCACGCCCTCTCCCCCGCGCTTGGCGGCGCCGTTGGCGGCGGTGTTCGCGACGCCAGTGGCGGCGCCGGTTCCGGCATCCCCGCCGCCGCCGCTTCCGCGATCTGCTACCAGCCGAGGCAGCATCAGCAGCAACACCATCTCGACCACCACCACCACCGTTACCCGCACCAGCACTGTCACCCTCATCATAATCACCTTCAACACAGCGCGCAATGCTCTCAGTCACTCGTAGTCCCGCATTCCTCCTCCTCCCCCTCCTCCTCCTTCCCCTCGTTCTCCTCCCATCCCATCTTCTCTACCGCTGCCGCTGCCGCTGCTGCTCCCGCCGGCCTCCCCTCGCCCCATGCGCGTCAGTCCCCGGGAGCGCTCCTGCCGCATTCGGCGCCGCATTTTCCGCCGCATCGGCCGGCGGCCATGGCGACGCAGGCGCCTAGAGGACCCGTGCAGACGCAGCCCCCGCGAGGGCCGGTGCACATGCAGCAGCAGGTGCGGGGGGGTGTTTCATCGAGAGGGGTTAGAGAACTTTGCGCGCGAAAGGGGTAGTGTAAGGGGTAGAAGGGGGGGGAGAGGGGGGGATGGGGAAAGAGCATTACTGTCTAGTTTGGAGGCGGGTGGAACGGGGTTTTGAAGGGGTTTGGCTGGGTTTGGGGGGTCTGGAGGTGCCTCTCTTCACTCTCCTCTCTCCCCTTTTCCACACTCCCCGCCCCCTCCCTCTCCTCACTCTCGCCGCGACTCTTACTGCTTGCATTTCAAGAAACACCCTTCGTTTCCACTCTCCTCCCCCTCCCGTCCCCCCTCTCCCCTCTCTCCACCCACTTCCCATGGCTCCCACTTTCCTCCAACCGCCTCCTCGTTTTTCTCCCCCATCCCCTTCCTCCCGCCTTCCATTCTTCCCCCCCTCCCGTCTTCCCGCCCTCCCTACCTCCCCCCGACCCTTCCCCCCCCTCCCTTCCTCCCCCTTCCCCAGGCTCGTCTGCGCGTGTATCTGCAGAGTCCTGGGGTGATAGGGGACCCCTACCGCCCTCTTCCGCCAATGCCCTTCCTTGCCAGGTAAACCCCCCGCCCCCGCCCCCGCCGCTGCTGCTGCTGCTGCCGCCGCCGCTGCTGTTGCTGCTGCTGCTGCCGCCGCCGCTGCTGCCGCCGCTGCTGCTGCTGCTGCTGCTGCTGCTGCTGCCGCCGCCGCCGCCGCCGCCGCTGCTGCTGCTGCTGCTGCTGCCGCTGCTGCTGCTGCTGCTGCTGCTGCTGCTGCTGCTGCTGCTGCTGCCGCCGCCGCTGCTGCTGCTGCTGCTGCCGCTGTCGCTACTGCTGCTGCTTCTGGTTCCACTATCACTCCTGCCCCATTCACCCGTCCCCATCCGCCTGACTCTCCCAAAAACCGCACGCAAAGGGTCTGATTTGACTCCGTCTCCTCCCCTCTCCGGACCCTCTGTTCTCCTCTCTCCTCGCCTCTTCCCTGCTTTCCGCTCGCTCCGTACCCTCTCTGAACCTCCCTGCCCCCCCAGCTGGTTCACAAAGGCGGGGTGGAAGAGACGCTGGGTCAAGTGGAGTGATGCGGTGAGGATCACATCACGTGTGGCGTGCGGTGGGATGGGGTGGGGTGGGGTGGAGTGGGAGGGGGTGGGATGGGGTGGGGTGGGATTGTGGTGTGGGGTGGGATTGGATGGGGTGGCGAGGAGTGGCGTGATGTGGTAAGGTGTGGCATGGCATGGCATGGCATGGCATGGTAGCCAGCTCTACCGGATGTAGCCATTGCCCTTTGCTTCTCTCTCATAAGGTCATCCCTTGTCGACTGCCTTTTGTTTCTTCTCTCCGCACCGATCGCTACCACACCCACCACACCACCATACCCCCATGCAATGCACCCTTTTCAGAGTTCCTTTTTAAAAGCGTGATTCAGAATACATTGTTCTCGGCCCACCTGTCTCTTGCGCCGCCATCCATGCATACTCCTCTCCTCCTTTCCCCCTCTCCCTTCCGTTTCCCCCTCTCCTTTCTCCCTTTTTCCCCTCTCCCTTCTCCCTTTTCCCCTCTCCCTTCTCCCTTTTCCCCTCTCCCTTCTCCTTTTTCCGCTCTCCCTTCTCCCTTCTCCCTTCTCCCGAATCACCCTCTTCCCACTCCCGTCTCCCCTATCCCTTCTTCTTTTCTCTCCTTCCCCTCTTCTCCCTTCCTCCCCATCCCACCTCCTCCTCGTCTCCAGCTGAAGACAGGGTACACGATTGCTATGCTGAGGCGCCACAAAAGGGGAATTCTTTTGCACAGGCTCTGCTGGGAGCTGGCATGTATTTATCCATTTCAGCTTTCTTTCCCGTTCCCCTCTTCCCCCCTTTCCCTCCCTTCTCCAGCTGAAGACAGGGTACACGATTGCTATGCTGAGGCGCCACAACAGGGGATACTCCCGGCACGGGCTCTACCGGGAGCTTGCCAGCACATACAAACAGGTGCTGTATGTCCCGCTGTGCTAGGTGTGATGCTACATGTCATGCGGCGTTCCATGCCATGCCATGCCATGTCTGCATCAAACGGAGTTTATTCTTCACCATGGTTGGTCTGCTTTTTAGTGGTCATTTCTCCATTTTTCTCCCTCCCTCCCTCCCTCCCTCCCTCCCTCCCTCCCTCCCCCTACTTCCCTCCCTCTCTCCCACCTGCCCTCAATCCGTCGTGTGTCACGCAGATCAATCGTGCCATTGCAGCAGATGATCGCACGGCATTGCGGCATCTCGTCACAGAGAGCGCCTTCACGGTACGTTGTTTCTTGAGTCATCTACACCTCTGAGGCACTGTTTGAGGCGCCTTAAAGGTCAAACGGCATTGCGGCAGCTCGTCACAGAGAGCGCCTTCACGGTACGTTCTTTCTTGAGCTGCCTCAATCTTCTCACACAATGTTTGAGGCGCCTAGAAAGATTTGAGATGACTTTTGAGGCGCCTCAACGATGGCACATCATCGCGGCATCTGGTCACAGAGAGCGCCTTCACTTTTGAGTCGACTCAAAATTCAGCATCTGGTCACAGAGAGCGCCTTCTCTGTATGCTGCACCATCGGCTTAACCCCCACCCACCCAACTCACCCGCTTCACTATTCCTCCCTCTCTCCAGTCAGTGAAGAGTTCGCTCAAGCATCGGGCTGAGAGCGGCATAGCCCAGGCGGAGTGGCACCTGGTAGGGACGTCTGACGGCAGCAGCAAGGCCGTTGTTCCTAGTCAGCAATAAAGTCATTTCTTTCCTCCCCTCTCTCTCCAGTCACTGAAGAGTTCCCTCAAGCATCGGGCTGAGAGTGGCATAGCCCGGGTGGACTGGCACCTGGTGGGGACGTCTGAAGGAAACAGCAAGGCCGTTGTTCCATCCAGCAACAAGCCTCCCCTTTCGTTCAAAACCTTGCAAGCACGCTTGGTGCGTGGGTGTGTAGTCTATGTGGATCTCCTTGCAGCTTTTTTCTTCTTCTTCTTCTTCTTCTTAAATTTTATAACCTGTTTTGGTCCCCCCTGTGTGCATTCCCTCCCCCCCCCCCTCCCCCTTTTTTTCCCCTTGTTTCTCAATGTGGCTCGGTCTCTTTTTTCCCCCCCACACACTCCATCCCACACCACACCATACTCCCCTCTTTCTACGCCGCTCTCCCCAACCCCTTTCTCCCCTCAATGCGTCCAACCCGTATATCCCATAATCTTGAAGCGTGCTGAATCAGCCTCTTTGGTTGTACTGTGTGGGTGGGACTATGCTGTGACTTGTGTTTCCCTGTCAGATTTCGCTTGAGAAGAGCAAACCAGAGAATGGCTTCGTGCAGCTCACTCTTGAAATTAAGAGCAGGCAGGTGAGGCTCTTCTTTCCCACATCATTGACTTTCATCCCTGATGCACGCCTTCCTCTTTTCCCTCCTCCCTGCCCTGTTGTTCTGTTATCACCTGTGTTCACTTGCCCTGTCTCGTATTCCTCCTCCGTACAACAATGCCTCTATCCGCCTGTTGTTTTTTTGCTTCATGTGAACCTCTTGCCTACAGCGCATTGCGGCATATGATAAGCGCAAGAAGCTGATCAGTGGGGATCCAGATGCTGAGGTAAGTGTCTTTTTTTGCCACTTTTATAATGCATGTAAGCTCAAGATCGGTCTAGCACGAGCAGAATGCTATGCTGCAATTCGCTGCTTGTGTTGATTTGCACCGAATTCGCCAATGACCACCTGTCATGTACTGGCTTGCTTGACCTAATTCTTCATTTTTCATTGCACCACCCAATGCTCCCTATCAGTTGACCATTACTGACTGGCTTAATCTTTACCTTTTTTACCGTAATTAATGCAAACATCAGGTCGATGTGAAGGACATCTGGGTGTTTGAGCGACACATGCTGCACCCAGAGCTCCCATGGAGGCTCTGTGGGCAGCTGGTAGCACCCCCCCCACAAGCAGACAAATCTGGAAAGCAAAATCAAGCTGCTGCTAGCAGTGGCAGGCGATAGTGGCAGGGGGTCCATCCTAGATCAAATACGATATCCAATTTTGTGTTGACATGGAGTGGCATTGTTGCAGCTGGCAACTCACTGCCTGGTCTGATGGAAATAACAACCTGAGCATGTTGTCTGATAAACTCCTGCCTCCCACCTTCACTAAGTGTACCTGACATGTCATTTGAAGGTACACCTCTTCCTGAATGTCAAACATTCACAGGAAGGGTTTTGCCGTATACCATTCCAAACGTAGGCTGTAGTGAAACATCAATTGCTGTCGCTTTAATGACGCTTACAACATGATACAAACAACAACACGTCAGCTAATCCACTACTCTGGTTGTCACTAAGATGCTCCGCGATCCAACAATGCTCCAGTATATCCATTGTTTACTTGGCTACCTTCGCGTTTGCTTCGAAGACATACTTGATCACAGACGCCTTGATGTCGAGAAGCTCGGGAAATTCCGCCTTCAGCTTTGATGCATCAAGCTCGTTATTGCTGCGAGCAGCCACAATGACCTTCGCCTGCGTGACAATAGGAACGCAGTCGTTAATTGTTTAGTTAACGGCAACACCACGGACGAGATATGCAGCGGCGAAGTGCGTCGTTCTCACCTGATCCTCGATGGTGAAATTGGTGTACGTGAACGCAGGATCGATGTACTTCTTGTAAAGGTCGAGAATCTCGTTGTGGCTGATCACTCCAGGGTTTGTGAAGTTCCAGATCCCTGTCAGGTTTCGTTTCGCCATCTCAATCGCGATTGGTAAAAGTTCATCAAGCACCGACATGGAGTTCGGAATGTTCACGACCTGCACAGCATCCAGGTAAGTCAGTCCTTATTGTGAGAGGAGATCACGAAACGGGAAGGCTTTACGGTGAGTCATATTACAAAAACCTTTCGCCTTACCTTCTGGTAGCGGGTGATCTTGGTGATGAAGTTTCTTGGATTGGACAAGTCGGAAGAGATGGGCATGCGAACCCGCAGAGTGCAGACGTTGTCATACGATTTCAGCAGCTCCTCCACCTGCTCACACCCAGAAAAATGTCAGGGCCGTAACAACGCGTTATCATGCATGAGTAATGTGCAGGACCCTCCGCTCAGAACCTACCATTCCTTTGGTCCTAGAGTAGAAGGATCCAAAGAAATTTGCGGAATCTGTCTCCTTGAAGACAACCCCACTTCCCGTTGGATGAGATTCGTCGTACTCGAAGATGCAGCCAGTTGCAAAGTTCACTACCAGAGCTCCATGGTTCCTGCACAGAATAATCGTCTCGATGGTCAGAGATAGCAGGCAAGTGGATTCAAAAAGCTGGACAAACGGGATCCACTTTACACACCTTGCGACATCAGCGAGGGTCAAAACACCAACAACGTTTGCTCGAATCGTTTCAACCTGATGGCTCTCGCACCAGTCCACGTTCGGACGGCCTGTAACTCCTGCCGCGTTGAAGATGTGCGTTGGCTCAGCCCGAAGGATGTCCGCTTCAATTGCACGCCGGTCTTCCAGTCTCGCGAGGCCATACTCAAACGGAATCCCCTTCTCCTTGCACAATTTTCCCAGCAGGCCACCGATCCATCCAGTTTTACCGTAAATCAGAAACTTCGTCTCCTTAACTTGACAATCTGGAGCGCCGGATTCTTCAAGTGACTCGGGATTTGATGACGACCTTCCGATGCTGTACCCTGTGAGCATCCTGGGGTGCGGTACAAGAGCACCAGAGATGTCTCCCCAATATCCAACGTTGTTCTTGTACCAATTGAGAGTCTTCTTGAGCCCTACCTCCCACGAAGTTCTCTCTTCCCAGCCAAGAGACTTGAGCTTCTGATCGTTCAAGTAGTATCTTTGGTCGTTGAATGGCCGATTCTCAACAAACTTGACAACCTGCTCTGGGTCTAGGCCAACCATTCGGCAAATATCCCGAGCGACGTCGATGACACGCCTTTCCTTGCGT